TCCCTCTGTGATCCTCCCTCTGTGATTCCTCCCTCTGTGATCCTCCCTCTGTGATCCCTCCCTCTGTGGTCCTCTCTCTGTGATTCCTCCCTCTGTGATTCTTCCCTGTGACCCTCCCTCTGTGATCCTCCCTTGTGTTCTATACATGTGGGAAAGGAGCTTCTCAGAACACCACCTGTGCAGGCTATGCTGGCAGGAGAATCACACGTGTTAAAACAGCCCAGGCTACACATCTTGTCTTTGAGGGAAGGGGACTAGAGAACTGGATCAGTGGTTAAGAGCACTGGCTCCTGGCCGGGCGGTGGTGGCGCACGCCTTTAATCCCAGCACTTGGGAGGCAGAGGCAGGCGGATCTCTGGTCTACAAGAGCTAGTTCCAGGACAGGCACCAAAAACTACAGAGAAACCCTGTCTCAAAAATCAAAAAAAAAAAAAAAAGAGCACTGGCTTCCTTCTAAAGGACCTGGGTTCAATTCTCAGAACTCACTTGGAGGCTCACAACCTTCTGCAACTCAAGCATTGGAAGTCCCAACACTCTTCAGGCGTCCATGGGTCCCAGGCATGCACACAGACATATAGGCAGTGCACCTATGCACACACAGATGCATACATTTTGCAAAGAGAAGGGTTGATTTTGCTTTTTTGTTGTTGGCATTTTGGTTTTTTGTTTGGTTGGTTTTTGATTGTTTGGTTGGTTTTTCGAGACAGGGTTTCTCTGTAGCTTTGGAGTCTGCCTGGAACTCACTCTGTAGACCAGGCTGGCCTTGAATTCAGAGACTCACCTGCCTCTGCCTCCCGAGTGCTGGGATTAAAGGCATGTGCCACTACCATCAGGCAAAGAGAAGGTTTTTAAACTTGTGATTAAATCATAACAAAATGTACTGTGTCTACGTGTGTTGCTGGGAACCACACACAGAGTCGTGCATGCACTGGGCAAACACGTGGTCCTCAGCCCCGTCCTAAATGTTCAGTCTGGGCCATTTAAGGACATCTGTCACCTACACTTTTCAGCACCCTAGACTCTACCTGTTAAATGTTTTGTCTCTGTTTCTTGAATTTGATTACTCTAGGTCATCAGAAATCAATATAAATGCAATCATACAATATTTGCCTTTAAAACAAATAGGGTACCAGTGTGCAGCCCTGGCTGCCCTGGATTCTGCTCTGTGTAGACCAGGCTAGCCTCCATTTCTGAGATCCCTCTGTCTCCTGGGATTCAAGTCTGTGCACTACCAGTCCAGTCCAGTGTCTGTCCTTTGTGCCTTGTTTATTTAACTTGACAGCACGTCCTCCGGGCTTATCTGTATTGTACCACACATCAGAATTCCCTTCCTTCCTTCAGTTCTATTCTATGTATGTGTATGCCTTCAGAAGCCAGGACTAGAGTTCCAGGTGGTTGTGAGCCACAGCGTGAGTGCTGGGAACTTAAACCCTGGTCCCCTGCAAAAGTAGCAAGCCCTCTTAGGCACTGAGCCTTTCTCCCCAGCGCTTCCTTCAGTTTTGTTTTTGTTTTTTGGGTTTTTTGTTTGTTTGTTTTGTTTTTTCAAGACAGGGTTTTTCTGTGGCTTTGGAACCTGTCCTGGAACTAGCTCTTGTAGACCAGGCTGTCCTCGAACTCACAGAGATCTGCCTGCCTCTGCCTTCCGAGCGCTGAGATTAAAGGCGTGCGCCACCACTGCCCGGCAACTTCCTTCAGTATTTAAGGCAAAATAATACCCCATGTCTACATTAGCTGCATTTTGTTCATGTGGTTCCTGATGGACACTGGGGTTGCTTCACCTGTGGATTCGGAAGCAGTGCTGCTGTGAGTGTCTAGTGACGCCATTCACTGACTCAGAATCCAGACTGCACACCGCAGCGCATTTTCAGTTTAGGAGCCCTGTGAAGGTGGGGATTTGGAGATGGGTTTTGTTGTTGTTTGACTTGTCTGTTTTTCGAAACAGGGTTTTGCTATATAGCCCAGGCTGGTTTTGAACTCTCAATCTTCCTGCCTCAGTTTTCAGAGTAGTACTCTTGAATGGATTTTATTTTCGGTTTTGAAAGTGTGTGTGTGTGTGTGTGTGTACGCAGGTGCCCTGCACACCTGTGGAGGTCAGAGGACAACTTTGTAGAATCACTTCTTGCCTGCCAATTTATGCGTGTTCCAGAAATGAAACCCAGGCCATCAGATCCTATCTTTGTGCAGCCAGCACCTTTGCCCACCGAGCCATCTCAGCGGCTCCTCGGTGGATGCATGGCCTAGGTAAACTTGCCTGTTTTGTTCATTGATTCGTGACCAGAACCTAGCACAGAGTTCACAGTCAGTCACTCAATACTTACTGAATTAACTTTTTTCTTTCTTTATTCTTGAAACAGGGTCTCATTATGTAGCTCTGTTTCCTCCTGAGGTCTGGGATTAGAGACATCCGCCACTACTCCTAGCTATTGAATTAACATTTTTAGGTACTGAGACAGACCTTCTTTGTGGAACCCCAGCTGACCTGAGGCAATCCTCCTGCCTCAGCCTAGATTATAAGTGTTTCTCACCACTCCTGGCTTAAGTTTTTAATTTCTGTGTCTGTCAACCTGGACTCCGAACATAAGAAGTCTGTAACAGCTTTCTCGTAAGGTAGCCATCCGACTCATAGTGCTTGCTGTCTCCAGTTCAGCACCCCCAAAGCAGGCCTTAATAACTTGACCCCTCAAGCCTAGCCGGTTTGCAGCCCTCTGTCTGCACAGGCGCCTCTCAGAATCCCTGCAGGGGGACAGAGATCGGCTACAAGTTCTGTAAGTGCTGCTTCATCCTTTTGTGTTTGTGCTTCCTGGGCCATTTCCCTTCTCCTCTTCCTGATTTGGAGACAAGGCCTCATTATGAAGTCCACACTGGCCTCAGACTGTCTCAGTCCTCCCAGTGGCTGGAATTACTGTCCTACAACGCCCAGCTCAGCTTCTCTTTTCTTGAGCTCACTTCCTCAGGTCCCGTGACTCTTGCTCCCTACTGAAAAAGCAGCTCTTCATTTGGAGACAGAGACCCAGATCCTGCTTCCTGTCTACCCTGAGACCTTCAAGGCCACACCTCGAGCCTTACACCCCTCCCTTGCCTGTCCCAAATATAACGCTTTGAGACTGCCCTTGTCATTTGCCCGCCACCCCGAGCTGCTGGAGCTTCCTGCTGCTGTTCTTGGAGTCTCTGGCAGCTTCTAACCTGGCATTTCTGCTCGAGAGTTTGATGTGCGTGTTTTGTTTTGTTTTGTTGTTTTGTAGATGGCTCACATTTCAAAATCATACTGGAATGAGAAGATTACAGGGACACAGGAGTGGGTAGACCGTGAGCACTCTGGACCTTTAGCATAGACTCCAGATAAGGACAGTAGCTACCTCTCTAAAAATGTTGACTAGCATTTGAGCCTTGAGTGCTGGCCAGTCTTCACAGCTCGCCCCTGGTTTTAGAGCTTTCATTTTTTGTTTTGTTTGAGACCAGGTCTGTTATTTAGCCTTGGCTATGTAGATCAGGCTGGCCTTGCTCACAGGGATCCTCCTGCCTCTACCTCTGAAAGGCCTGTGCATTACCTTGCTGCTCTACTGTTTCACTTTGAGTAGAGACCATTTTCATTTAAAAAAAAAAATCTGGGCTGGAGAGATGGTTCAGAAGTTAAGAGCACTGACTGCTCTTCCAGAGGACCTGAGTTCAATTCCCAGCACCCTCATGGTGGCTCACAACCATCTGTAATGAGATCTGCTGCCCTCTTCTGGCCTGTGGGCATACAGGCCTGCAGAACACTGTATACATAATAAAGAAATACATCTTTAAAAAAAGAAAAATCTATCAGTCATGGTAGCACACACCTCTTAATCCAAAATGCCAGGAGGAACTCTTGAATTCGAGGCCCACAGCAACTACATAGTGAGACCCTGTCTCTAAACAAATAACATAAAAAGTAAATTTAAAAACCTTATGACTGGTATGGTAGAGGCCTCACGAAGCCGAGTTTGTTCCCTAGCACTGCGTAAAAACAAGCACGGGTGATGCCTGCCCTCGCAGTAGCAGGGGGAGGCTGCAAAGTGAGAAGCTCAAGGTCATTCTTGGCTAAAGAACTCTCAAAGCCTTTACAGGGTCTCATGGTTTGAACTCAGGTCACCAGGCTTATACAGCAAGTGCCTTTTCCTGCTGAGCCATCTTGCTGGACGTCTTATTTTAAGAGCGCTATTACTGTGATTTTTTATGTGTGTGTGCATGCACACTTCCATGTGTGTGCACTTATGAGTGTCCATAGAGACTAGATCCCCTGGAGTTGGAGTTGCACGTGCACATGCATGCATGCACACATACATACACACACATGTGCATGCCCACGTGCATTCACTACAGCTGAGTTACATGCCAACTCTTCAGGTGTTCTCCTGCTTTATTCACATAATAGCCTTGCAATGTTGTTTTAATGATTCACAGAATAATAGGTTGTGTGAGCCATCAGGATGACCTGAGTCCAGTCTCCTGGACCCTGTGGTAGGAGAGAGCCAGCTTCCTCGAGTTGTCTTCTGGCCTCTCATACATTAGGCGGTTTTCTGTGAGTTCCAGGACAACCAGGGCTTTGCAGAGACCCTGTCTTACCCCACCTGGTCCCCCACCTTGGGTTGGCCATGGATTGGAAGGTCTCTCGGCAGCTCACCTCCTGCTGCTTTTCAGTTATGGGATCATGGGAAATTTGAGGCTCTTGTTGGCCTCCGTTAAAAAAAAAAAAAAAGACCCTCAGTGCCCTTGACCTGTTCTTGCCCCAGCTCACAGCAGCTGAGATCCCTTTACCCGTGCTCAGTGGTGCCACAGCCGGCCCTAAGACCTGGGCTCTGCTGACAGTAGTCACTTCCACTTCCGGTCCTGGTGCCATCAAACATTGCTTCCCTGAAGTCGCTCCCAGCAGGAACACCACCAGATCAGTCCTTGCTGGTGCTCCTTGTTGGACTTTCTGCAGTAGAGAGCGATGATAGGACCTGTGGGGTGTAAGCACTGTGGAGCTGGTCCTGCTTTGGTCTGTTCCCAGTGTGCCTAGCGCAGTTCCTGGCAAAGCAGGTGGGCCACAGAGCTGCTAGTTTTGTGTGTACCCTCCCTCCCTCCCTCCCTCCTTTCATCCCTCTCTCCCTCCTTTCATCCCTCTCTCCCTCTCTCACTCTTTCTCTCTTTCCCTCTCCCCTGTCCCTCTCTCCCTCTATCCCACACCCTCCCTCCTCTGCTTCCCATCTCTGTTCTTTTATTTCAGTGTTTTTGAGATAGGGTCTCATAGTCTGTATCCAGACTGCCTTAGAACTCACTGTGAGCCCAATGTCTCAGGCTCTTGAGGGTTTTGATTATAGGTTTGAGCATTAGACCAGACTTAATAAATTATTTATTGAAGAAAATGATGACTCCAGAGTTGACCAGCATGTCCTCCCTTGACACCTCTATCCTGCAGTGACCTTTACTAAGTTACTTCTTCAACAGTTACATCAAATGCTAATTAGGAAAAGACTGTGGTATCACCTTGAATCCTAGCACTGGGGAAGCACAGGCAGGGAGATCTTTGTGAGTTCAAGGCCAGCCTGGGCTATGGAGCAAATCCAGGCTAGTGGGGCTACCTAGAAAGACCTTAAAAAAGACTTGCCTACAAGTTTCCAGACCACAGTTTAATAATGTCCTGACTCTGAGTAATGACTTGGGCTTTGGAGCTTAAGGGACAGACGGACAGACACAGGGTGGGGTGCGGGACAGACGGACAGACACAGGGTGGGGTGCGGGACAGACGGACAGACACAGGGTGGGGTGCAGGAAATAGTGGTGGGGAAAGTCCTGTTCCACGCCTGTTAAAGTGCAGAGCCCATCCTAGAAGTGAAAGGTAGAGCAGGCTTGCTTATGGACCACCAACCAGCTCCCAAATAAAGACACGGAGACCTAATATTAGTTATGAATGCTTGTCCCACTACTCTTATAACTTAATTTAGCCCGTTTCTCTTCATCTATGTTTTGCCGTGGGGCTTCAAGCTTTCTTTCATTCTGTATGTCCCACTTTGTGTTCCGCTGCTGGCAGCTGCCTGGCTGTCCCCAGGTGTCTCCCTCTGTTTCCCTTGTTCTTGCCTCTCATTCTCGTTCCTCCAGCTTAGATTTCTTCTCCTATTTATTCTCTCTACCCACCAGTCCTCCTATCCCTCTACTGCCTAACTATTGGCTGGTTAGCTTTTTATTAGATCAATCAGGTACCTTAGGCAGCAACACATCTTACACAGTTAAACCAATGCAGCATAAACAAATGTAACACATCTTTGCATAGTTAAAGTAATATTCCACGAGAAAAAGGTTTGGGGCAGGGTAAGTATATTTTATTACTGAAAACTAATGTTTATAAAAGGTATGTAGGGCCAAGGAGATGACTTGTGGGCAGCGTGCTGTACCTGCATAATCACCCAGGTCCCGATCCCCAGAACTTGCTAAAGATAGATGCACAGTGTGCATTTGTTCTGCTGTAGACAGGTCCCACTAGCCCTGGCAGGCCTGGGACTCACAAAGAGTATGTAGAACATGGAAAGATGTACAGGATACATTTATGCTGCATGGTACAAATATATTCATATATACACACTCAACATTTGATGTGTTCCTTATACTGCCATATCCTCATGTCTCTATGTCGCAGCCTATAAACTAGGTACTGTACCGTTAGCATCCGAGTGACTGAGGTCGGATCCTTGCGTCTCTATGTCACAGCCTATAAACTAGGTACTGTACCG